CTCACTCTGTCACCCAGGCTGGAGTGCAGGGGCGTGATCTCAGCTCACTGCAACCTCTGCCTCCCGCGTTCAAGTGATTCTCCTGCCTCAGCATCCAGAGTAACTGGGATTACAGACGCACCACCATGCCTGGCTAATTTTTGTATTTTTAGTAGAGACGGGGTTTCATCATGTTGGCCAGGCTGGTCTCGACCTCCTGACCTCAGGTGATCTGCCCGCCTCGCCCTCCCAAAGTGCTGGGATTACAGGCGTGGGCCACCGCACCTGGCCTGGAATGAATTTCTGAAATGAGAATGTGTTACGTACAACTTCTGCCAAAAAAAGTGACCTGCATGGAGTCTGTCATTATAAAGAAGTTAAGTAACACTGAAAAGTTTAAGAGTAAAAAATAATAACCCGTCTCATTAACTAAAATAACCATCAGTGAACATCATTCGAGATATCCTTCCAAGTAGACCTAAAAATAGGCCACCAGGTAGAAGGATAGGACGGGATGAAGGGAAAGGAGAAAGGGTGAGAATTAAGTTATGCACATCATTTTTAATTAAAACTATTACATTTAATTTTAACTTGACTTTAAAAGAAGAAAATGGACACTTAAAAATTTTGCTGAAATTCAAACAAATGTTTTTTCACCGTAAAATTCACTTGGATTCTGAAGTTAAGATAAATTATGTAGCACAAGAAAATTGAATTTTCAGCCGGGCGCAGTGTCTCATGCCTGTAATCCCAGCACTTTGGGAGGCCAAGGCAGGTGGATCACCTGTGGTCAGGAGTTCAAGACCAGCCTGGTCAAAATGGTGAAACCCCATCTCCACTGAAAATACAAAAATTAGTTGGGTGTGGTGGCGGAAGCCTGTAATTCCAGCTACTTGGGAGGCTGAGGCAGGAGAATTGCTTGAACCCGCGAGGCAGAGTTTGCACTGAGCCAAGATCACACCATTGAGTTCCAGCCTGGGCGATGAGAGTGAAACTCCATCTCGGGGGGGGAAAAAAAAGTTGGATTTTTAAAATTACATGTTTCGGGTTCTTGTTTGTTTGTTTTTTTAGAGACAGGGCTCACTCTCCCAGGCTGGAGTGTGGTGGCACAATTATAGCTCACGGCAGCCTCGATTTCCTGGGCTCAAGCAATCCTCCTGTCTCAGCCTCCTGAGTAGCTGGGAACACAGGCACACGCCATCACAAACTAGTTTCTTTCAAACACTATTCATGGATACGGGATTCTTGGACTTCTTTCACGTGTGACAATGGTGCCTATCGTTCTTATGGCTGCATGACAACCCCATTTGATAGTTTATTCCGAAGTCTATCTTTGGGAAATGATTAGAAGTGTCTCCACTGTGTGTCAGCATTAAATGGTGCTGTGGCCACATTCAGAAGCCAGCTTGTTTTTTTCACTTTGCAAATAATTTATTTTTTCAGTCTCAGTGCCTGAAGAATTTGTCTCTTTCTTTCATTTCCATCAGCTTCTCTCTGATTGCTCTAATTTTGGCTTTTTGAAAATGTCTGTATTCTCCCTGATTATGTAAAATCTTCAGTATTTATTTAGTTTTTGGTTTGTTTCTTTTTCCCCTACAAAGAGAGGGAACTGGGGGTTCTGTTTGTGACAATACGCTCAGATACCAGCACAGGGCCTGGCACAGGGCAGTGCCCAGTCAATCACAGCCGGGGTAAAGGTAAAGAAGAGAGACTCAGGCTGGGCGCAGGGGCTCACACCTGTGATCCCAGCACTTTGGGAAGCCGAGGCAGGCGGATCACGTGAGGTCAGGAGTTTGAGACCACCCTGGCTGACATGGTGAAACCCCATCTCTACTAAAAATACAAAAATTAGCGGGGTGTGGTGGCACATGTCTGTAGTCCCAGCTACTCAGGGGGCTGAGGCAGGAGAATCGTTTGAAACCGGGAGGTGGAGGTTGCATTGAGTCGAGATCACGCCACTACGCCCGGCTGAAAATCCAATTTCCTTGTGCTTTACATAATTTATCTTAACTTCAGAATCCAAGTGAATTTTATGGTGAAAATTCTGGGCAAGAGAACAAGACTCCATCTCAAAAAACATAAACAAAACAAAAAATAAAAACAAAATAAATATATACTTATAAAATGTGGCTACTGCAGTGGCTCATGCCTGTACTCCCAACACTTTGGGAGACCGAGGCAGGAGGATGGCCTGAGGCCAGGAGTTCAGGACCAGTCTGGGCTACATAGTGAGACCCATCTCTACAAAAATAAAAACATTAGCCAAGCATGGTGGCTTGCACCTGCAGTCCCAGCTACTTGGGAGGCTGAGGCGGGAGGATCACTTGAGCCCAGGAGCTGGAGGCTGCAGTGAACTATGATCACAACACTGCACTCCAGCATAGGCAATAGAGCAAGACCCTGTCTCTAAAAAAAAATTTTTTTAATTTAAAAGCTATATTAAATAAATTAAATATTAAGTAAATATAAATATAAGTATATATGTATGTATATGCATGTGTATGCATGTCTATTACACATATTTATATATATGTGCATATATATAGACACATGCATACATATGTACATATTAATATTTGCTTTTCTGGATGGGTGTGGTGGCTCACACCTATAATCCAAACACTCTGGGAGACAGAGGTGGGGAGATCACTGGAGGTTAGGAGTTCAAGACCAGCCTGGCCAACATGGTGAAACACCGTCTCTACCAAAAATACAATAATTAGCTGGGCTTGGTGGCGCATGCCTGTAATCCAGCTACTCAGGAGGCTGAGGCAGGAGAATCGCTTGTACCGGGGAGGCAGAGGTTGCAGTGAACCAAGATCTCGATGCTGCACTCTAGCCTGGGTGACAGAGTAAGATTCTGTCTCAGAATTTTCAGAAAGAAAAAAATGATGTATATATTTGCTTTTTCTGCATAAAATAACTCAAGAAGGACACGCAAGAAAGTGGGTATAAGCAGCTGCTTCCAGGAAGGAGAAAAGTGTGGCGGAAAGCTGTTCACCTAACCCCTCTGTGCCAGGTCAACATATTACCCAGCCAAATAGAAAAATAAATTCAAACAATGAAAAGAAAGGCTGCCAAGCGTTTGCTGAGCGGTGGGACAGTACTCACCAGGGTGCGTAGGAAGCCGCTATGAAGAAATAGATGACCATCCGGTCGAACATGTGTAGACAGTGTTCCACCATCCTAGGGTGGCAGAGAAGCCGGCGGTCACAGCCCCTGCACAGAGGGAAGGGCCAGTGCCCCCAGAACTATGCCCTGGGCTGATCGTGCCTGCCTACAGGTTAGCGGGGCTGGGTTCCTCTATCCAGCCAGGACCCCTTGGGCCTCAGAATCCCCATCTGTAAGTGACTAGGGCAGTGGTCTTCAAACCAGGCTCCTTATCATCACCCTAGGGCTGCATGGAGACACCTTGCCTCGGGGATTCCACTGAGGGCCTTGTGCCCCTGCAAGTAAGGATCGGACATCCTCCTTTACACATTTTTTTTTTTTTTTTTTTTTTTAGTTTTGCTCTTGTTGCCTAGGCTGGAGTGCAGTGGCACGATCTCAGCCCACTGCAACTTCTGCATCCCGGATTCAAGCCATTTTCTTGCCTCAGCCTTCCAAATAGCTGGGA